AGCAAAACAACGACTGCGAAGCAAACAAAATTTGTCTAGCTGTGTTCCGTAGGCCGCGAAAGACCTACGTGATTTGAGCTTAAACAGATATCAAACGAAAAGTCTTTAACACAAGCGTGCATGTTTTATTCAAGGAGAACCGAAAGATCCGCAACTTAACCAGACATGCAGATTGAAGTTTGTTTGAACAGGTATGCATGTCTCGCCATATCATCGGACACAATATTTATCCCTATTGATCAGTAGGCTGGAAAGTTTTTACTGTAGCTGACAATAAACTTCACTCTTTCAGTCAGGTAACTCTAATCGTGAGAGAAATTGGTTTGTGATTGATATAGTTGTTGAGGGGTAAAACAACGCACGAACCTTATGCATGCTGGTTATTAACTTTACCAAGTCGTTTCTCAGCTGCAGCTGACCTGGACGTGAGATTTTGAGATACCAACATCTGCGAAAAATCTTAAACGAATTTTAAACGCATGGTTAAAGTGTTCCCAAGGTCGCATAGTTTACATTTTCGAAGTGTAAGAGAGGGACTAAACGGTATCTCTTACATAAATTATGTAATGACCACGAGGTTTATTCGGTGTTTTTTAGTCGTCGAATGTTAGAGCGAGTTTAGTTTAGAACGGTTAAGTGTCGGCCGAGATATTTTCTTAAATTGGTGGCAGCGGTCTGGGATTTTGAGCCGACGAAATGGACAAAGACCAAGTGAAAATACCCGAAGGTGCCGATGGCGGTTTACCGCCAGATTTCCCGCCGGAACATAAGCCGGAGAAACTGATGAAGTTGAACCGAACGAAGGGAACAGTGACCTGCAGCAGTTAGTACAGGCGCTTAAGCGGGGTATGATGATGTCGAGTGAGGTAAGCGAAGCGAGGAGAAATGTACGAGCACTGCGTGTTTACTCAGCGGGACAGAGCTTTTGTCCTAGTTCGTGCAGTATGTCGACCTTGTGCGCATCAAGCCGTCGGATCTTCGAGCATATTTACTCACAATGTTGGACCAGCCGGCCTTTAAGGCGGTGGAACTTCTCAAGCTTTCAGAGTT